ATCGAGAAAACAACATTCATTGCGGTTGCAGTATTTTTTATATAATTTCTTAGTAATACATGAATGTATCGTTTGTCCGGCGGAAATTCCAATTACAAGTTGCACATGAGAGTAGAAATTTAGAAATATAGTAAATTCGTGTATGATTATTGTATATTTGCTGCCTAATTTTTTTTCAGTCAAGATTTTGATTGGGGGGTAAACGAATTTATATTTGCTATCTGAGATTTTTGACATCATTCTCTATCAGGTGTTGGTTCATGAAATTGGACATGCTCTCGGCATAGCACATAGTGCTTCTCCGAATGCTATTATGTTTGCCTTCTATCAGCATGAGATTCGTGGTCTAGATGTTGATGATATAAATGCAGTACAATATCTATATGGAAGAAAAAACAAATATGATTCAATCCCAACGTCTACCACCGCATCAGCAATACCAAAAACAACAACAACTATAAGATCTACAACTCGTAAGCAGCCGATCCTCAAAAATTTGTGTGATATTATTCCAGATTTTATGTTTTTAGCTATTGCTCCAGAGTTTTCAAATTACCGATTATATATTGCACATGATATGTTTATATGGAAACTAGACTTAAACGAAATGATTATCCCATCTCAGCCTGAACTTCTTGTCGATTATGTTCCTACAGAATTACGTCAATACACTTTACAACATATTTTCCAATCAACAAACGGTGACTTGATTACCATTGTGTCTCCAAACAACTATTTCTCAGCATCATTCCCTACCATTAAATTTCTTGATAATTTTTCAATTGATATACCCGATAGGGCTCGAATCAATGCTATTTTTCAATCAAACGCAGGACGGTCCTATACCTTTTATAATAATATGTCATATATAGAATTTTCTAACGATTTTACTGATGTGTTGAACAGAGGACGGATAAGAGACATATTTCCTGGGTTACCTGAAGTTTAGGGAAAAAATTAAAAAACAACCAGAACTGAACCGTGAAATACATAATTTGATTCTTGTCTGTCATGAACCAAATCAGTTGTCGAACAATGATTTGAGTCGATTAGTATCAACATCTAAAGTACTCCCTGATATGTAGTTTTATTGAAAATACCTCTGGTTTGCGAAATAATATTGTCGGAATTTCTTGTTGCAAGTTGTTCAAGCGCGGGTATTCAAAACATGGCACACACACACACACCAATCAACCTTATTGTTATATATACTATATGTTTCAATAAAATATCCATTATACTATTTTCATTTTGAACGGTATCATCCTGTATAATAATAACAGTACATCGTATACAGGTTATGAGACATTCTGACCGACCGACCGACCGACCAGAGGAGCCCACCACGCTATTTAGGTCACGCCTTGCTATATACGATTTAACGATATACCGTCGGTCCATCGATCCGCTATTTTTCGATGCACCCCTGTATACACGTTGCCCCCCGTAATCCACGCCAACACCAGACAGGTGCGACATCGGCGCCATCTATGCGCGAGATGCCCAACCCATCAATGGCAGCTGTCCAATGACGCATAGATTCCGTTAGGTTTGTACACCGCCAAACAAATCTACGCCATTTATGCGCGAGATGCTCAACCCATCAATGACAGGTGTCCAATGACGTATGACAGATGACGTGTAACGCCATCTATGCGTGAGATGCCCAATGACGCATGACAGGTGTCCAATGACACACAGATTCCGTTTGGTTTGACAGCGCCATCTAGCGGCGGAATCCCCAACTCATGAATACAGATTCCGTCCAACAACCTGTCAATGGCGCGCGACGCCAGCGCCTCTGGTGGCGGATTTTGGAAGTTTTGAGACCGAATCCCCATAGACCATCTACTGATAACTGGGTAATTTATATTTCAAAACTTTATTCAGTCGGGTTCCATAATAGAGCAATACACAATACTTGAATTTTAAATGAATTTCTCTCAAACAATAGCCGGTTAATATGTTCCTGTTTATGTATGTCTTTGAAACATAATCTCATGGCCCATAGACATTCTGACCGCATGGTGCCAGGACACTTTCCAAGACCGACACGCCCATCGATGAACCCAGAGAGCTAAAGCGGAGACGCGTATCGTAGATATTTAATTCAGCTTCAGGAAAAACGTATGGAGAATTCAATGATATGTGAAATATGTCTAATAGGTGCATGGAATTTTTGAGGTAGGGAACATATACGAGTACTTATATGCAATTTATGCTTAGCAAAATTAGATTGGGATGATACTCCTAACCAAGAAATATTGGAAACTTGGCAAGAGTACAAACATCAATTATTCTGTTTATCAGATATATCTATACCCCGCTTAGTTTTACCTGAACAGTATAAGTGCATAGATTTAGTTGGTTTTTCAGATGCCAGCTCAAACGCTCATTCAGCCGTACTTTTTATCAGAATTGTTACGCAGTCAACTATGCAGACTTCTCTGTTATGCGCTAAATCTAAGGTGAACCCTTTGAAGCAAGTTTCTATACCGCGATGTGAACTACTAGGAGCAGTTTTGTTGTCTCAACTGTTGCGCTTTGTTATTGACACATATAGCAATAAAATTTCATTCAAACATATTTTCGCATTTACAGATTCTACAATCGGTTTATATTCTCTTAAATCCTCACCGAACAAATGGAAACCATTTGTAGCAAATAGGATATCAATCATTCAAGAAATGCTACCCGATGTTTAGTGGTATCATGTGTTTTCGGAAAATAATATCGCAGATTGCGCATCTCGTGGTTTACAGCCCTTAGATTTTAAAAACTATGGACAATGGTGGGCAGGCCCTGATTTCTTGTCGCATCCATATGCACATTGTTTTAGAAGTAAATAGTTTCGTCATGTTTAGTTTATAAAGGCATATTTTGGTACAAATCAAGAAGTGGGCCAACTGAAGTGGGCCAACTGAAGTGGGAAGGGGCTCGTAAATATACGTATTACCATCAAAAAATTGATACCTGAAAAGTTCCGAAACCCGCGATAATTTGTGAACTAAAGAAAGGCCTGCCATTGATAGGAGTTTGCCCCAGCTATCCGAAGATGACATCGAATTTGACGTTGACCATCAGCTTCAAGACCATTTGAAGGTAAAGTCATTTTTTATATGCAACCCCCCATTTTGACCCAGTAAATGAAAAGAGCGGAAAATTCAAATATGAGGTCATGGTTAGGGTCAAACCTGGTACGGTGATAATACTTGAAAGCACAGTACAGGGAAACTACCGAGATATACTATCTTCATAATTCTTCCCCGGATATCCTATGGTGACCTTAGATCTGACCTCGACCATGGTGTTCAAGGTCATCCGAATATCAACTCTTTTTTAATAGGACCCAATACTTTTTACCGCGGAAATGGAAAATTTTATGTTCGAATATGTCCTAGACCATTTTTAGAACTTGACCTTGGTCTTGATTATCAAGGTCAAACACAAGTTAACCTTGATTTTTTGATAATTCAGAAAACTGAGTGATCCCCAGATAGACTGACTTCACTGTTCCTTCAGGATTGTTCCCTGGTTACAAAAATTGACTTGAACATGAATGTCATCACGTTCAAGGTTAGATCCAAGGTCAACAATAAAAAGCTGGGGAAACAGTACCTGGGTTTTGACCTTGACCATGACCTTAAGATTTAGGAATGGTCAGACCATATTTGAACTGAAAAATTTCCACTATATCTTCATTAACGGGGCCAGAGGGCTCCATTTTAAATCTACTTGATCTTCAAATGACCTTGAAGGGTATTGCCAAGGTTAAATTCAAGATCACCGTTGAATAAGCTGGGGAGTATTATATTATATATACAGGATGTCTCACAACTTATCCGACATATTTTAACCACATATGCACTGTTACGAAAGAAGTTGATTTCTCAAAAAAAAAAAATGTAATAAAACTCCTACAGAAATCGAGATAATAAAATAATACAGTTTAACAGTTCACTTATAAAAGCTGGTCAAAATTGTTTCCATTGACCGCAATGCAAGCTTGGGCGCGTCTAATCCAATTTCGGCGCACTAATTCACATACACCTCCTTCCTGCTGTGCCTGAAGGCTCAAACTATAGGCAGCCTCTGTGATTCGGTGACGCAATTCTTCAATATTCTGAACTTGAGTACGGTATACCTCGTTTTTCAAGTATCCAAAGAAGTGTAGAGGACTTAGATCGGGAGACCGTGGAGGACATCCAATTGGTCCACCCCTTCCGATCCAGCGTATGTGGTATAGCTGATTAAAAAAATCACGAACTTCTAAACGAGAATTCGCAGGTGCCCCATCGTGCAGAAACGACATCCGTGCTCGGACCGCCAATGGCACATCTCACTAACTCCTCATTAGTGTACACATGTGCCATTTTTATCGATAAATAACTAAAAACATAAACTCGCAAAATCCTTTTTTATTTAACTTCACAAAAATCGACCGTTCTTCATTCAGATCACCTACGATACAGATTAAACCTTATTTACACGTTCTTATCAGTATGAAAAACAAAAAATTCCTGGTATTTTGTTTTCGTCAGTTGTTTGGTACAACATTTGCTACAATAAATTATTAATGCGTGTTCTAATATCACGACTATGAACGGAAAATACAAATTTTTATTTTTCAATTTTTAATTGAAACTCAGGTTTATAACTTATTTTCTGTAGGACTTTTATTACATTTTTTTTTAGAAATCGACTTCTTTCGTATCAATGCATATGTGGTTAAAATTTGTCTGATAGGTTATGCAACTCCCTGTGTATACCGGACTTAGAGGCGGTCCAAAGATTAGCGGACAGACATACAGACCGAAGGTAATGAGTGACATTGTTTTTCGTGATGTACCTGTCAGGCGGAAACGAGGCTAGAAATAACGGTAACCACATTAACCCTCTATTGCATGATTTATTTGACATGTTTCTTTTGCCCTAAAAAAATTATTACTAATGAGTTATATCATTGGGTGGTCAAAATAAAATATAAAAAAAATGTGTCAAACATAATTTATTAAAAAAAGGGTTACAAAATTTTGTTCCCACTTGGGAACGTTATGCGTATGGAGTACAATAAGAAGTTATTTTAATTTGTATGAAACTCTACAAAACAATTACTTTTTGCATAAAAACAAAGATGGACTTTACATTTCAGACATAAAACTCGACTTTTTCCCTTACAACCTTGATTTTTGCATCTTTCACGGTTTTCCGTCCATTGAGGCCAGTGCTGTACATCATCATACCTGACCTCAGTGCTTGGAGTAGGCTCCTTACATCTTCTGCTTTGGTGACTCTCTGCAATTTGAACGGATGTTGGTCTACCTCGCTATCTAGAATTTTTTCCAACATTGCTACAGCGATTTCGTTCTTGAACTCGAGTAGCGATATATTTTGTTCTTGCTTGCCCAATTGTTTTTTTATACGTTTGTCTAGGAGCCACGAATTTACGATAGCAACATCAAGCATGTGATAAAAAAGGCGATAATACCATTTCTTGCTTCTGATGTGACATCAGTATAGCCCTAAAAGAGAGTCTTGAAGATCTCCCCCCCCTCATATGTTTATTGTAAATTTGTACCACATTTGGGCAAGTGATTTCAATTTGTTTCTTCTGCTGCCTTGAAAATCTGGGGACCATAACTGTAGGGTTAGTACCACAAAATGAGCTAATTAGGGAAACAACTTTGTTATCGTACCACTGGAATACTCTGATTACATGATTGTCGACTTTTGAAATTTTTTCAAAACAGGTGCCCCTGCCCTTTTTTTTGAATTTGTTTTTCATCAGGAAATCTACAGCCTGGTAGACGATTTGGACGCACAGTATCAACACTTTCAATTCCTTTGTTCTTTAGGTAAACTATAAGATTTATTCCTGCGAAATAATTATCAAAGTAGACCTTGTGGTTCAAATTTTCTGGTACAGTTCGACAGAGACGTACAATCACATTGCTGGCGGCTCCAAGATCGGGTTCGTTCGGAAGTCTTTCAATATCCTGTTTACGTGAAAACAACTCCAAATTGTAAGTAAAACCACTTACGCCAGACAAAACCCATATCTTATATCCCCACTTATGGGGTTTTTTAGGATTGTAGGTTTTCAGAGAAATTCGTCCCTTGAATGGAACAATCTGTTCGTCACACGACAAATTTTCTTCTAAAGGTACCTTCTGACAAGCTGATTTTATCTGGTTGAAAACCAGCGTGATTTTATCTGTGCTTGTGGTAATCTTCTGGTTGTCAGTGAAATGAAGGAATCTTTTTATTTCTTCAAAACGGTTAACTGGTATAACATCAGCCACTTGGTCGATTCGGGTATTAGGAGACCAGTACCGCCTTGAATTTGGCTGCTTTATAAGTGACATCCATATGAGTATACCTAGAAATCGTTCCAATTCATCCTTCGACAATTGCAGTGGCTTATTGGGACGTACTTGAGTGCTGTACAAAATTGTCTCATAAAAAGACATTATCAAAAAAAACTTGAAAATTTTGTAAGGCGTTTTCAGCTCTAGAAACTCCTGGGGAAGTAGAGAGCCTCCGAGAAATTGAGTTCCTTGTACATCAGTATGGGAAGTGGAACTTGCCCACTTCAATTCAAAAGCTTTGCTGCTGGAGGCAATGGTTGGAAGCAAATGGACTAACGGAGAATCATCGCCACTGTCATCTGAATCTAGATGCCCATCTTGGATTATTCTCAAAACTGGAATATCTGGCTCTTCGATGTCATCCTCCAATATGGAATATTCACTGTCAGATGGAATGTCTCTAATATGGGTATTGTTTTTACCATAAAAGACTTTGGGCTTCACTGGGCCGAGTTTTTCCATGTCCACATCCATAAAGATCATCTAGTAAAACAAATATTTGGATATATATTGTAAAAAACAATATACTGTTGACAAACATATTGAATATATAGTGTAAACAAAAAAAAACACCAATGCATATTGTTCCCACTTGGGAACAAAATATGTCCATCCAAAGCTAACCTATATTTTCAGAATATTATCGCTGTTCATAATGTTTCCACTCAGGAATACTAATATCTGCAGAAAAAGTAATTACATGCACAAAAATGAACGTAACACCCAACCACCCTACGTATCAAATACATATTTAGAGACCAAATAATAATTTTATAACATAAAACTTACCTACTTTATCATTCCTAAAAATGTATTGAAAACACCTCGAAAAGCATCAGTTGATTATAAGATCAGGATGACGGATATTCTTACCTCGACGTTGTATATGTAGCGCCATCTATACAGCAACGTATGGACATCGTTAAACAACGTTCCCGTGTGGGAACTTGATGCATACAAATTTGGTAAATGCTTACTTAAAAATATAGGAAGTTATAGAATTTACTGTTCCCATTTGGGAACAATATGAAATAGAGGGTTAAACAAGATTTTTGAGGAGGTGGATGATTTGTCTATTTAGGATCTTTAATTACGAGTAGTAATAAAATAAATGAGGAAACAGAAGTAAACTACAGAATCGGTAAGGCCAATCAATGTGCAGGAATGCTTAACAGAAATATTAAGTCAAGAAATGTATCTAGAGTCTCCAAAATAAGGCTATACAATACGATCATCAAGCCATCACTTTTGTATGGAGTAGAAACCTGGGTAATTAATAAAAAACTTGAACAAACATTACTTAGGTGTAAGAGGAAAATTTTAAGAATATATGGAGGGATCAAGGTGGGAGGAGGGTATGTTAGGAGGTCTAATGCTGAAATCTATCTTCTATATATTGAACCAAACATAATAGAAGTAGCTAGGACCAGAAGATTGCAGTGGCTGGGGCACCTGGAAAGAATGCCGCAAAAAAGAACAGTAAAGCAAGTAGCTTGGAGAGTTCCGGATACCAAGAAGAAAAGAAAGAGACCGAGAGGAAGATGGAAGGATGCGGTTATGGAAGATTTGAGGAGCAGGAATATCAGAGACTGGAAGAAACTAGCACTAGACAAAAAGTGGTGGAATAAACTTATCAAGCTTAGTGCCTGAAGGCCTGTTTTATAGCTGTATATATATATATATATATATATATATATATATATGGTGAAAAATTAAAGCTTCCGCCTTTTGTTGGGTACTTCGACAAAATTTAAGCAAAGAGGACTCTTTATATTTTTTTTAATTCTCTCTAGCTTTCAATGGACTTTGCCATCATCATCAGGAGCTGCAATTACATTGATAACAGTAGCAACAATAGTGTAAAATGAATTTAAATTGACTTAACTTACAGTAGTATGTGAGGATGTTGTTTACGTTCAGTATGAGGGAAACACCCAGTAACATGGTGAAAGCTGGATAGATGGTACAATGGTCAAAATTATATAAAATACACACAAATGTGTGACAAGAACAAGTTAAAAACAGATTAAAAATTTTTAGAACATGAAAGCATTACATCGTGAAGCCACTTGATGATTGCACAAAATGGTGGTCATGGAATAATGAGTGAGATGAATCCTTTGACAGAAGGCCGAAGGTTGTCAATGTCTGTGTAGAAAGATGGAACGAATTGTGGGCGTGTGTTAATTATTATTAAATCGTGAGGAGAAGATTATTAGAATTTGAGTGGAATGAAGTTTATAGGTGGAATCGACCAAGAAACAGATTCCATTTATGGTTGTGAAGAGTCAAAATTTGGGGAGATATGTAAGTTCTCCAATTTTTCGCAGTTTAGCAAATATGAGTAAATGACACTCAGTTGCTTAACATCTGTCTTTTTGTTGATACAGTTGTTATTCATGAAAATGTGGGACATTTCCAGGAATAAACGTTTGGATAGGTGTTTTTCTTTATCAAGAACTTTGATACTTGTGTAATTTATAGAGTGCCCTGTTGTCTTAACCTGAGATGCTAGAGCGCATCTTTCAGGATGAAGCCTAGAATCACTTTTGTGTGATGTAATCCTTCCTTTAAGAGATCTGGAGGTCTGACCTATGTATATTTGGTTGCAGTTGTTGCAATTGATGGAGTAGACTGTGCTGGTTAAGCCAAGCAGCGGGACTCTGTCTTTCATTTTTGAAAAAATGCAGTTTATAGTGAGGACGTATTTGCAAGCAATTCGAAAGTTCAAAGGACTGCACAATCTGATCAGCTTAGGGGTCAGTTTCTTGATATAGGGTAGGACAGCAAAACCAGGTCTGGAGTTTAGTTTGGTGCTTGTACTGTTTGAATTGATGTTATTGTTGGGAATTCTATCAGTTCTGTTATTAGGGGTTGTGCGACTATTACTTGTATCATTAGAGTTTGGCAAAATATTGGAAGGTGAACTAAATAAGATCTTGTTAATCAGACACTTCGGATAACCATTATTGATGAACAGTTTTGATAGTTTACGTAAATTTGAGGTGTGGAAAGTATTGTCTGAGGTGCTGATTACCCTTGTTTTCATCTGTTTCACCAAGTTGATTTTAATCCCTAGCTTATGGTATGACCTAAAATTGAGAAACCGACCTGAGGCCATAGGTTTCTGGTACCAGTCTACCAATAAACTATTGTTGTTGGTGCGGATGAGTCTTGTGTCTAGAAAGGGGACAGACAGGTTCTCATCTTCTTTTTCAATGGTAAATTGGATGTAGGGGTCATAGCTGTTGAATTCTCTGACAATACCATCCATAATGGTTATCCGAAGTGTCTGATTAAAAAGATCTTATTTCGTTCACCTTCCAATATTTTGCCAAACTCTAATGATACAAGTAATAGTCGCACAACCCCTAATAACAGAACTGATAGAATTCCCAACAATAACATCAATTCAAACAGTACAAGCACCAACCCAAACTCCAGACCTGGTTTTGCTGTCCTACCCTATATCAAGGAACTGACCCCTAAGCTAATCAGATTGTGCAGTCCTTTGAACTTTCGAATTGCTTGCAAATCCGTCCTCACTATAAACTGCATTTTGTCAGAAAGGAAAGACAGAGTCCCGCTGCTTGGCTTAACCAACACAGTCTACTCCATCAATTGCAACAACTGCAACCAAATATACATAGGTCAGACCTCCAGATCTCTTAAAGGAAGGATTACATCACACAAAAGTGATTCTAGGCTTCATCCTGAAAGATGCGCTCTAGCATCTCATGTTAACACAACAGGGCACTCTATGAATTACACAAGTATCAAAGTTCTTGATAAAGAAAAACACCTATCCAAACGTTTATTCCTGGAAATGTCCCACATTTTCATGAATAACAACTGTATCAACAAAAAGACAGATGTTAAGCAACTGAGTGTCATTTACTCATATTTGCTAAACTGCGAAAAATTGGAGAACTTACATATCTCCCCAAATTTTTACTCTTCACAACCATAAATGGAATCTGTTTCTTGGTCGATTCCACCAATAAACTTCATTCCACTCAAATTCTAATAATCTTCTCCTCACGATTTAATAATGATTGTTAATTTAATTTCCCATTAATTAAAATATAGTTAATTCAACTGCCTCTGGTCGGTTTAACAATTTCTTACATAACATTCTGAAAATCACATCATCTGAAATGATTTGGCAACGTGGCACACGCCCACAATTCGTTCCACCTTTCTACACAGACATTGACAACCTTCGGCCTTCTGTCGAAGGGTTCATCTCACTCATTATTCCATGACCACCATTTTGTGCAATCATCAAGTGGCTTCACGATGTAATGCTTTCATGTTCTGAAAATTTTTAATCTGTTTTTAACTTGTTTTTGTCACACATTTGTGTGTATTTTATATAATTTTGACCATTGTACCATCTATCCAGCTTTCACCATGTTACTGGGTGTTTCCCTCATCCTGAACGTAAACAACAATTAGCAACATCCTCACATACTACTGTAAGTTAAGTCAATTTAAATTCATTTTACACTATTGTTGCTACTGTTATCAATGTAATTGCAGCTCCTGATGATGATGGCAAAGTCCATTGAAAGCTAGAGGGAATTAAAAAAAGTATAAAGAGTCCTCTTTGCTTAAATTTTGTCCGAAGTACCCAACAAAAGGCGGAAGCTTTAATTTTTCACCTAACTGGTCTAGACGACAATGACCACGTCTCAAGTTTTATATATATATATATATATATGGACGTCAAATAACATCCAAAAGACATAATACCTATCTCATTTTCGATTTTTTTCGCGAAGTGGTGTGGAATCGAATTTGGGGTAAAAAATTAGTCGCTCTGGACCCCCGTGAATTCAATCCGTAAATTGTCTACAGATTTTGTAACTACGCCCCCAGCATACTGAGATTTAAGGAAATCCAGGCGCCGTACGATTTCCGAATTCGTTTTCCGGATTCGGAGACCCGAATGCATCAAACGCTTATACAGGGTTATCCAAATTAAGTGTCCACCATTAGTAACTTTGTTATTAGTGAAAATACAAAGTTGTTTGAATTAGCAAACTAGTAGCATTTTTAACGCTGGTAAAAATGAGAAATAAAAAAAACAATTGAGAGTCGTTATTTTGATTTTTTTCAGTAAAATAACATTTTTTTAAATGGAAACCCCTGTATATTATATTTTTTTCTGTTAAAGCATCAAATTTTAAACAAAAAAGTTCATAATGACTTTTCCGCTAAAGTCAAAAATAAAGTCAAAATAACGATAAATATTTTTAATTATTTGCAGTATTATAATATTAAGACGGCTATGAAAACAACATGACGTTCGCGATTTGACAGCATTAAGATAAGCGACAAATTGTTAAACTGGACATACTCGCAACTAGAAGGCTTTGGAAAACAATGATAAAATCAAATAATGTCAAACATTAGTGTAAATACTTGTTTATAAGCTTTATTGTGTCATTAATTTAAAGAAAAATGTTCTCCCATGAAGAAAAGTGTGATATGTTAGAATGCTATTTAGTGTGCAGAAAATCCTCCTTGAGAGCAAGAGAATACTACAGTGAATTATATCCCGCTCGCATTCAACCGTATGAACGATATTTTCTGAGACTTTATCGAAAATTTAGGGGCAACGAAAATGTTTTTGCTAAAACAAGGGCAAAAAAAGAATTCATAATAAGCGAGGCCACGGAAATTGCAGTTATTGGATATTTTGAAGCTTATCGTGAGAATTCAATAGCAGATATTCTCAAGGACTCTAATTTCAGTTATGGTACTGTTCAAAGGATTTTAAAAAAATACAAATTTATTCCGTATAAGTACCGACCAGTTCAAACGCTTTT